AACAGACAAATTCATCAATTAAATATGTTATATGTCAACGTTGTCATTTTTAATTGTAGTTATTAATAGTCCTATCAATGACTAATTATAGGTGCATTCTCACTTGCTTATTATTTTTACAATTATATTTTGTACAAATCGTGCACACGACATCTCAAAATCATGTGACTGACTTCAGTAATTGACCGTTTTGATTTGGTTATTATCGAAAAATTCCACATTCACATGCATTCACATAGATCAATCTTTCTTCACATTTTTATTTTTTATTTTTAAAAGGGAAATTGTAAAAATAATTGTTGGAATTTGCTTAACACTTTGCTGGACCAAAACCAAATTGACTTTGAAAGCCCAAACTGAAGCTTGAATCGGCTGCCTCCCATTTGTGCATTATATTCAAATATATCTCGAATCAAATCACCGCAAGTGTACGGTTCGCAAACAAGTAATAAAGTGGAGTTTCAGTTCGAATGTTGCCTCATAGAGATTGATTTAGTTCAATTTTAATTATCGCGACCTTAACTGAAAGATTATGCACTTTGACGGAAGATAGATATATGATGCTTCAATTTTGCTATCTTAGCCGATGGGAAGAATTTTGTGCAGAACTTCTGGGCTGGATCATTCCATGTGCTGATACTGGCGATGGGTTGAGAATCTATCCACTCAAGTGCTTTATCATATAAAGTGTGTGGAAACAGCCACAGTCTAATAGCATCATGTGAAATACCCTGATATCGAAAATGTTGACCCATCTCCAAGAATTGAGAAATGTGTGTATGAGGATTTTTTTCAGCTCTATCATAAAACTGATGTCCATTCTGGAATAAATATATAACGTTGGTCTTCAACTCAAAATTAGGCCGCCCAAAAAGAGGGTAGACGATGTTGATTGACTGTTAATGATCTAGGTGCCATGAAATCCCCAACAAGCATATTCGATTGGAGTCAGTTCACCGTCAAACGACCTTTGCATACAAGATCTAAAAGAAAAACAATAGTAACACTCAGATAACTAATATGAAATGAAATAAATAACAAAAAAAAATGTTCGAATTAGTGTCGAAGTAAATAAAATCAAACTAAACTCAATCTCCGATCCTCGACAACAGCACCAAAACTTATTCATGAAAATATATTTCGAATCAAGATCACCGCAAGTGTATGGTTCGTTAACAAGTAATAAAGTGGATTGTGAGTCTGAATGTCGTCCCACATAGGAATGGCAACGATTCGATTCAGGGACGGTTCAGCCAAAATCATAACCGCACCACCAAATTTTCGGTCATACCATAACCGCACCACAACCACGTAAGTCAGTTTGATTCGGTTATTAACCACGAAAAAAAATTATTTTTTATAAATCCAAACTCCAACCGTCAAATTGAGACAAAAAATTATGACGAAAAGTCAATAAAAATAAAAAAACACAATACTAAGTCAATTTAGCAAACAATATCCCAACTTCCAAATGCAAAATTAGAATTTAACAAAGAATATTATCAACATAGGTTAAGACTCTTACTAACATAGATCAATCTTCATTCTTCCCCACAACTCTTACTAGCATAGGTCAAGACTCAAAGTTGATTCCTATATAGTAAATAAGAAATATAATTAGAGTAATAATACAATCATACTACTTAATCAAGAATGGTCTTGACTGAAAATTTAAACAAAAATAAATTTCTATTCTGCATTTGTAGAAAATCAAAATTTGTTACGAGATGTTGGCAGTAATCTGTATAACTATATTCCTTGCGAGGGGAATATGGTGTCGTGGCATCTTATGTTTCTATGGTTCATTTATTTATTTTATTTGGAATATTCAATCAGTAATAAAACATTTTAATTAGAATAATCATATGCTCTTTGTTTTTTCTTAATAGACAAATTCATCAATTAAATATGTTATGTGTCAACGTTATTATTGTTTATATTGCTGTCAATGACTGACTGGCCACATGTGAATGCAGTCGCATTCATTTTACATTAATTATTTAATTGTGATCTACATAATAAACATTTGTTTTATCTTAATAGAAAATTCATCAATAAATAAATTATGTATGTTAACGTTATCATTTTTAATTGAAGTTATTAATAGTCCTATCAATGACTAATTATAGGATTCTCACTTGCTTATTATTTTTACAATTATATTTTGTACAAATCTTGCACTCGACATCTCAAAATCATGTGAATGACTTCAGTAATTGACCATTTTGATTTGGTTATTATCGAAAAATTCCACAGTCACATGCATTCGCACAGACCAATCTGTCTTTACATTTTTTTTATGGGAAATTGCAAAAATAATTGTTGGAATGTGCTTAACACTTTGCTGGACCAAAACCAAAATTAAAGGCCCAATGATGGATCGACTTTGAAAGCCCAAACTGAAGCTTGAATCGGCTGCCTCCCATTTGTGCATTATATTCAAATATATTTCGAATAAAAATCACCTCAAGTGTACGGTTCATTAACATGTAATAAAGTGAATTTTAAGTCCGAATGTCGCCTCATAGAGATTGATTTAGTTCAATTTTAATTATTGTGACCTTAACTAAAAGATTCTGATTCACTTTGACGGAAGATAAATATATCATGCTTCAATTTTGCTATCTTAACCAGTGGGAAGAATTTTGTGCAGAACTTCTGGGCTTGATCATTCTACGTGCTGATACTATAAGTTGAGAACCTATCCACTCAAGTACTTTATCATGCAAAGTGTGTGGAAACAGCCTCGGTCTAATAGCATCATGTGAAATACCTTGATATCGAAAATGTTAAACCCACTTTTATATATGACTCAACTATATTTCTATGATGGATGTGATTATATAAAAGTGCATGAATTTTTATGAACACTTAAAAATTCACATAAGACATAGCGGTATATTTCTATTTCCTATCGGACCCTACGACAATTTATATATGTTGAACTTATTCTCATTCTTTCGAATGTATAAAATAAGTCATTACATTCACACAACTACCGTGCACAATAATTATGGAGAAAATAAATCTTATAAATCATTCAATATTTAAAAACGTGTTTTTAATGTCAAACATATAAAACTAAATATTAAAATTCATATCACATGGTCATCGTTAAGCTAGTACAAAGAAAACTAGTTTAGCATGTTATGAAGAAGAAAACAAAAGAAGTATTGAGGAATCGACATCATCTAAATAATTTTTGAATTGATTCTTCGTGTTCTTGGATTCGATCTTCGTGTTCTTGGCATCTTCTATGCTCCAAAAGCTTTTCAAAATATATTGTAATATGTTCTTGACGGCTCTAAAGTTCATAAGACGCCCCATGATTTGTTTCCATTGGAGTTGTATTAAAATAAGGAAATCAAAATTTTTTCCTTCGAAAACATACTATGCGAACGCATAGTGCATTTCTATATGACCGCATAGTTCAACCAAACTCATTCCTTAAATTTCCATGGTGTTCAGACTCTTTTCACGTATTAATTTCTTATTCCGGGTCATCTTTTGGCTATTTGCAATTTGGTCTCTAAACTTTGATTTTCTTCCATTTTAGTCCATTTTCCACCTCTTTTTCCTCAATTCCACCATGTTATCAATGATATCTTACAAAACATTTTTTTTATTGAATTAAATCATATTCCAATATATTTGCAAATGATTATCCATGTTTTGTGGCCTGTAAAATGCACTTATCACATTTTCATGTTTGGCTTATGCGACTTTAGTTCAGATTTTTTTTTAATTAGTTGAGATGATGACACGCGGTTGACTAGTAGCCATTGATTTGAGGATTAATTGATTATGTCTTTTATTAGTTACCTAGACACCTCATTTGCTGAAATGATTTCTAAGGTTTTCTTTCGTTTGCTCTCTTTTATTTTCTCTGTGTAAAACCTTTTGGATTTCTACTAAATTTTTTTTTGCATTTATTTGCCTAATTTTTTCCTTAGTTTTTGTTATAACGGTAATTCCAGTATTAATGAAAATTTGTCTGAATTTTGTTTGAAAAATGAAAGTGTGACTAGTAACAATATCAAAACGGTTTGGATCTAAGATGGAAAAGTTCCTCCGTGAGTGACTTTAGGACATCTTGAACGAGAAACACCAAATTTGGTGTAATTTTACATCAAATTTAGTGTAATTTAGTTTAACCTCTCCAATGGTAAATTTCATGTAATACCAAATTTTATTTTAAATTATTTAATTAAAATTTATACAATTACTATAATAGTTAAATTAAAAATTAGATTTGATAAACTAAAATATTGTATTTATTAATAAATTAATTAATGAAATTTATTTTATCAATAATTATTACTTATTACTTGATTAAAATTTAAAGACAAATGGTAAAGAAATATTAACAACATGTTCTAAGCAAATTAGTTTTCCAGATAATTAAACAAATAAATTTCACTATATTTTGAATCCGTTTATACATTATTTCACAATATGTTTCACGTAAAAAGAAAAAAAATCATCAATTCTCAGTATTAAACAAACTTGCAAAGATAACCCTATTTGACAAAATACATTCTTTCAAAACTCATTTTTCAACTACATATTCTGCAATAAAATAATATTTTCCATCGTATCAATAATTTTTCCTTACTTTTTAACCACATATTTCCCGTCATTTCACATTTTAAAATACATTTTTTCCTTAATAATACACATATCAAGCACCCCAATGTTGAAGTCTAATTGTATTCACTTTAAGGGATTAAGTTTGTTGATAAATCGGTCTAACAAAAATTATTTGTTTGTGAAAAATGATGATCAAAGAAAATTGTCAATAGTTTTGGAAAGAGAAAAAGGCCATGAAGCTACAATAACAATAATATTGATACAATAATGCATTACACATCACTCAAAATAAGAGAATAAAATGAAATAGCACCCCACAACACTAACACGGACACGGACACGGATAAGGACATGGACACTGACACACATGAAAATGGATTCAGGACTCAATCTATTATAATATGACTAGGTCATGGCCGGGTTATGGTCCGATAAAGAGACTTGGGAGTCTTAATAGCCCTATCAATGGCATTCTTATATGCCTCCTTTCCGGCAGTTAACATATTATCCTTAGTATTTTGCAGCATCTGTGATGTTTCACAGGCAGTATCTCTGACATTAGCAAACCTATTTACCCATGCCGGAAGCTTTGGCACTCCCAGCCTCTGCAACAACTCATTACTGAAATGGTTAGAGTTTTTCTCCAGCAGATCATATTTATTGCCCGGCCACTCCTGGCTAAGTTCTTTTAGGATCTGACTCAGCTTGGCAGCGGTGCAATCTGTTCTTCCGAGAACTATACATTCACGGTATGCATACATCGGGTTTTTACCGGCAGGACAGGTGTAAACACCGGAGCCTTTGTCCGTCTGCCAGTATCCCCATTCCTCGTCTCTGTAAACCTGGATGGCGGTGTGAAAGACGCCGCTGATAGGGATGCCTTGTTTGCAGACGTTGTTGAGTTGAACGACGGCAAAATTTAGGTTTTCATTGCCGGAATCAATATTTGTAACGTAATATACGTGAATGATCACTTCTGCCATCTTAATTATGTTCAAAACTCTCTCTCTCTCTCTCTCTCTCTCTCTCTCTCTCTCTCTCTCTCCATGTGACAACTAGCCTTTCAAGTGAATGTGTGGCTGTGATGTCAGTCCAAC